AGGAAAAAGTCATTATAATGCACATATTAGTGTGGAATTGAATGAATCAGCCCTCAGACACACACAAGTTGAGTTGATTCAGATTGGGTTTATTAGTGCTGCTAGGAGTGACACGTAGTGACGCAGTCTAACAACACTTTCTAGATTACATTCAAAAATACTCATTGTACAGACACTCCATTCAAATCACTTTAATATTCACATAAAAAATCTGAGCAGATTTTTAAATGGTTTTTCTAGATCTTTATATAACACATTTATTGGCATGTTGGACACTTCATTTATTAAAGCTGCCTTGGTTTTGTACACAGCCTACGCTGTTTATGAGATAAGCATGTGCCTGCAAAAACGTCTCGGTTATGTATGATAATCCTTGTTCCCTGATGTAAGGAACGGAGACGTTGTGTCAAAGTTTCCGACACTAGGGGTCACTCTTGGGAGCCCAGACACCTCTGACATCATTGAGAAAAGGCCAATGAAATTGCTGGCCACACCCCGGACATCCGGGTATAAATACGCCAGCGTAGCATTTGCTCACTATTTCTGTTCTGAGGAGTTGAGAAGCGTCTCAACCCACTCAGAGGCAATTCAGAGTTGTGGCATAAGGGACACAATGTCTCCGTTCCCTCCATCAGGGAACTAGGGTTACCGTACGTAACTGAGATGTTCCCTTTCAGTCTGTCACTTCGATGTTGTGTTGAAGTTTCCAACACTAGGGGTCTCTATACTAAATGGCACAGCTGCTGAACTGCGTTACGAGACCACGGGGGCGCAGATGTTGACAAGCCATGTGTCACGACCAAATGCACCTCTCCTCCTCATAGCCTTCCAATGCCCAAGACTTATGACCTCATTCTTCAACAACCAGAAGAGCCGCCAAGAAGGCAGTTGATATGCCAGTGCAGCCAGGGGCCCGTCCAGACCCCAGAAGCTGCATGCCCATTGCATACAGCACCCCAGAATGTCTCAGAAGCATCTGTTGTAGCAACGATGCATCTGGAAACCTTTTCTAAGGGCACTTCTGCCCATAGAAATGAGATGTCCTTCCAAGGGTTGAAAGTGCAGCGACACTCTGGTGTGATGTTCACATGATGTGTGCCTTGGCGCCATGCCCATCTCGGGACTCGGGAATGAAGCCAGTGCTGAAGCAGTCTCATATGCATCAGTCCCAGCGGCGTGACCCACGCCAAGGCAGGATGTGTTTGATGGCCTCTGACTGCTTCTTAACCATGGAGAACTGCTGCGCGTATTCTTCCACGGTGTCGCCAAAGAGACCAACCTAGGAAATGAGGGCATCAAGAAAGCGTACTTTCTCGACTTCCCGCATCTCAGGCAGGTTGAGCCACAGATGGCACTCCTGGACCACTAGCATGGACATCGTCCTGCCCAGAGTCGGAATGGGAAGTGGCTGGGGTAACCCGGGGTCTTTTGGTGAAGAACCTGAGCTACGAGCGCCACGTGCCTATGGCCAGGTCCTCGCAAGCGGGACATAAACCACCCACGAATGCTGCTTCAGCGTAAGCACGACCCATAATACATAATAACTGCAACCAGAAGAACAAGGGTGGAAAGGCATGATGTAAACACACAATTCTTCCCGTGAAGCTCTTTCAGAGAATTTACTCTTTTAGGATGAAATTTGCTCTCAAAGATCGCCGTTGAAGCACCCAGGGGTACTCTCACAACACTTAGCTGTGTATGAGAAGGGAGAGACTGCTGCCTGTGCTGTAGATCCAATGATGAGGAGATCGAGAGGTGAATGAGTGCCTCTTCTCACAGAGAGGCGTTGCATTTGGCTCCAAAAAACAGAACGAGTGAGTGAATGTTACGCCGGCCTATACCCGGATATCTGGGGTGTGTCCAGCTATGCAAATCAGAGATTGTCTTACTATTGGGAGATACAAGGGTCTGTATTACTTACTATTGGAGAAAGTGTAACGGTCAACTTGGATCACGTGTGCCTTAATAACCAATCACATTACAGCCTTGACATCATTGAATTTCAGTCAGAGTTGCGCGACACTGAATTGCTGTTTACTGATACCATAGGAATAAATGAGAAGTGCTGTAAGCTGTATTCCACCTGTCACAAAAAGTCCATGACTTATCTTATAAAACGGCATTTTTTTCAGTTTAAACTCTAAAAAGTTCAATCCTAAAGTATTGTTTAGTGTAAAACATGTTGAAGATTAGCCGATAGGCTGTTGATTCATTAAATGATAAGCTGTTTCCTCTAAAAAGCTGTTTATTCAGCGTAGTGAAGCCTCTCCTCCATTGATATCCATTCAAAAAAACAACAACAACAACAAAAAAAAAAAACGGCCTCTGGTCTCCTTTCCCACATACTGCCAAAGCGGAAGCATTAGCATAAGCCGTTACGCTTTTTTTGGCTAAAGGTTGTTGTGGCTAGAAGGGATACAGCAAAAACCGGAAGCTAACAATAAATTGAATTTTCTACCTATTATTGTGTTTTATTAACGTCTACACCAGCGGTGGCGAACTCCGGTCCTGGAGAGCCGCAGCCCTGCAAAGTACAGCTCCAACCCTAATTAAAACTCACCTGCCTGTAGCTTTCTAGTAACCCTTCAGACCTTGATTAGCTTGTTCAGGTGTGTTTGATTAGGGTTGAAGCAAAACTCTGCAGGGCTGCGGCTCTCCAGGACCGACGTTTGCCACCCCTGGTCTACACCTACCCCAACCCTAAACCTACCCCTTACAATAATGCAAAAATAGTAATTATTGTTGTACAGTGTGAGAAAAATTACGCTATAGCCTATTGATGTGCGCATGCCCAGTCGTTTTTGCTGTATACCTTCTAGCCTTAACCAGTTTCAGGCTTGCCTTCTGCAAATTTTTCTCGCCAATTGATGTCAGAGGTGTCTGGGCTCCTAAGAGCGACCCCTAGTGTCGAAAACTTCAACACAACGTCGAAGTGACTGACTGAAAGGGAATTTCACTTTTCTGTGCACAAGCCTTTGCACTACATAAAGACTGCATGGTAACTGAGCATGTGATTCTGCCTAAAAATGATGAATTAACTTTTATTTCTGGCTGAACTATTCCTTTTAGCCTTAACGTAATCATAAATGAATAACCAGTTTAGTCTCAAATACCATAAACATTAGCTGCTTCTCAAACGGAACTTGCTTACCTTTCCACATGCATTGTTAGAAGCTCAAATTGGTAACAACAGAGACATCACGTGGAATTCCAAAGAATTGCAGTAGGCTGTAGAGGAATTTATCCCAGCGATGTTATGGGATTCAAGGCTAAAGTTGCTGTACGTTGTAAAACGTGATATTTTACAGGAGTGATTTAACCAGAGGCGGACAAAGTACTCAACTCCATTACTTGAGTGAAAGTACAGATACTGCTGGTCAAATATTACTCCATTACAAGTAAAAGTTGTAAAGACAGATTTTTACTCAAGTAAAAGTACAGAAGTACTTGCTTTTAAAAGTACTTAAGTACCAAAAGTAAATGTCCTTTCTTATGTCAATGCACTGTTTGATTGTTGTACGTAGTACTTGCAATACTTCTGAAGCAACTTAGAATACATTACACCTACTGAATACACTGACTAGCATCTTTGGAATAAAGAGCTTTTAGAATGTTAAAAACCTATGGGGAAAAAACAAAACAAAAAAAATATTATAATTATTTAACACCCCTACCCACCCCCACAAAAGCAGGATGGTAGTGATCTCAAACAGCTCTGACAGTGTGTGCACACATCTATGTGTAGCCATTCATCCACATTTGAACAGAGTGGACAGTGAAACTGCTGTAAATACAGACTGATAAGGAAGAAAAAAAAATCAAACCTGCTTAAAAAACCCAGCAACACAACTGTAGCTGTATAACTTTACAACAGCAACACTGCTTTAACAAAAAAAGCAAAACAGCAAGACTTATTTGACATCAAAACAAAAATAAAAAAAAATGCTCTTGATAGAAATGTAGTGGAGTGAAAAGTACAATATTTGTCTTTCAAATGTTGTGAAGTTAAAGTCATAAGTTCCCAGAAAAAATAATACTCAAGTAAAGTACAGATACTCAAAAAGTGTACTTAAGTACAATACTCAAGTAAATGTACTTAGTTACTGTCCGCCTCTGGATTTAACTCATTCACTTTTGTATTTCATGGCTCGATCAGCTAATGAGTTAGATATTTTTCTCTTAGACTTATACTATTGTGCGGACCATTTTAATTTTATTAATAATAATAATTACAGCTATACGATATGGTTTTACTGCTTGCTTACAGAAAAAAATCACGTGACAATGAAAACTGAAGAATGCAATATAATTAAAATTGTTTCACTGGTCTAGATTTGTTAAAAATACTGCTTTGATTCCTTCCAAACAACTGATGGACATTTACTCTGCGTGACATATACAATGTATAGAACATCATAAATACATCAGTAGGCCTAAACAACGACCACCTCACCTGCATCTGAAGATCTTATGTCTGCAGTTTCCTTAAGAAAATAAAATAAAAATGAAATAAGCTGATTATATATGGATATTAACATAAACAACACCAAAATATTTTTTTTCCCCCATAATAAATATTTAAAAAAATCACAGTAAACAGCATGTTACAGATCTAATTTATGCAAACAATTAAGTAAAATTAAATGGGGCCAGAGTATAATAAAAAAAACAAAAAAAACAAACAAACAAACAAACAAAGACGAAAAGCTTACCACTTCACTGACAAATCGATATTTATTTTTCTTAATATTACATGCTCTAATAGAATTTCTGCTTTTACATTTAGCCGTCACAAAATGACGGAGAAAAGCTATGAAAAGCTATTTATAAATTTAAACCATTTTTTCATATACAAGGAATTCCAATAATGATGCTACAGATAATTGTGTGATTACACTCTTTTATTTTACCATCCCAGCACTACTGCACGCACCTGTGTGCCGTCTTTAAATGACGCTCACGCAGGTACCTTGCGTCATTCTCAGAGGCGGAAACGCGGAAGCAAAGCGCGAGCACATTCCACGTCACTTGAAGTGGATTTTAGCGCGAGCGAGAGCCAGGATCCTGACAGGAGAATGTAGCGCTTTGACGTGAAAGTCGCCGGATGTGATGCCACGAGCATTTTGGCTTCACGCTCAAACTGACAGCGAAGGGAATATCAGCGGGTTGTAAACTGAGGTTTCATCAAGGTAATGTTTGTGTGCGGAGCTGTTCCTGCGGGCAGAGCGCTTGTAGCAGGCGGCTGCTGTATGTCGCCGTTTTATTGGTTATTCCGTGTTTCTTGACGCCGTGTGTCCATCAGTGCAGCTGCTGATATGATGGGTGTATCTAATAATAGGTCTGTATTGCGCAAATACTGTGTCTGAAAACATAGCGAGATACCTAAATAGCATTTTTGGAGCTTTGTAGCAGTGCTGCGATTCCCAAATATGATGTACGCGCGTATGATGCCCAAAATGCTATTTAGAGAGGCAGATAACATCAGATTGTTGGTTATGGGCCTTTTTGCTTTGATTAATAGATTTTCACACTTTATGGATATTCTTCTTTGGCATAGTTTCGCCTTAGATTTTATGCCAGATTTATTTAAATTACTTCTAATTTCATTGTTGCTAGCGTATAATGTTTCTAAATGTTCGTTATGTCAAATATAATGTACATGTTTCCCACAAAACACTTACTGTTATAGCTTGTGTGCCTTAATTTTTAACTTTCATAAAAGTTTCATGAGTTGGTTTGTTTTTTATTACAACATTGACATTGTCATGATTATTATGCGAAATATCTGAAAATAATTAAGTGTGCTGTAATGTTAGACTGCATTTACCCATTAAAACATGTCAGGTCAAGCAAGCTAAGTAACGCTGTCAAGGGTGTATATCCAACTGTCACCACATGGGTATTAGGTGTGTACATGTTTTGTAAATTTGTCAGAGGGAAAACGTTTCACTGTGATTTTAGTACAGTACAGTATTAGCAGAAGGTCAGCACAGTATGCTTAATGTGCTGTAATTAATTGTGCTCAGCAAACCGTAATGCAGCTCCCCTGGATTTTTCCCTTGTGAATCTAAATCGTTGTGGCTATGGTGGGAAATTAAATTTTTGCCTATTAGACACAGAGAATGCAGAATTTTACCAGCCTTTCAGGTTTTTAGAAGCCAATTAATTAGTAAAGTGATATACAGTATTTTAATTCACATTTTCCCCACATTTGAGGACCACCGAGGACACTGTGGCTGATAGGTGGACTCTGACCTCTTTAAAATAATATGTCTGTGTCTGCTATAATTTTTTGGAACCCATTTTAGATTACCTCTAAAGTTGTTTGACTATTTTCTTTCCTTTTTCCACTAAAATACTAAGAATAATACAAGAATAATGATGTATGAGAATATAACAAATGAAACATTGTCTTAAACTTTTCTTTCTTTCTTTTTGACAAATATTTAAAAAATATTTGGAATTGTGCAAATGCCAAAATCAAGTGAACATGCAGTGCTTTTAAATTTGTAATAGTTTTTTACTTAGTTGTGATACTTGGGATCACATATGCATATATTTTATATACATATGCATAACAGTTGTAAGAAAAGTGTAGTATTTGTTTTAATTTTAAAAAAATTATTTGAATTTGGGAAAATAATTCTGTTTCTAATAATTCTAATTCTGTTATCAATCATAGTATCTTTCACAGATTTATTTTAAATAAAGTATATAGTATTCGTAAAGAAATGAACAAGAATAAAAAGGTAGTAAACACAGTAACCAACAGTAATCTAGTAAGCCTGTGCTCACTGGGAATCATATTTTCTTAAATAAAGACCAGGTAATTCTCATTTTACATACAGTACACAGTGTATGTGACATCGATATACAAACTGGATATATAGAGCAGCACAGTTTGAAATATGAAAATTATTAATGCATTTGTCTTTTAGTTATTAGACAGAACTGTTAAACAAAGGCGGTGAACTAGTGAAGGCTCAAAAGTGTCTTGCCAACTTTCCCTGCACCTGTTTATCAAACTATTAACAAATTGGTTCCTCAAGAGTTTGTTTTTGTTTCTAAATAACAGAATTTCTTGTCAGATGCGAGACATGTTGCCTTGTAGAGAAGCCAAAATTACCAAAATTATTTGGCTGGTGGTCATTTCCAATCCTGTTTGTGTCTCTTTGTTAAGGCCGTCATGCTAATTCTGAGTCTGTCTTTTTACCTGTTTGCAGGGTGTCTGATCTGGTGCTCGATCTTAATGGGCGAATCAGGGACACGCCGCTCCACCCTGGTCTCCAGGCTTCCCATCTTTAGACGTAGTGTGCGAAAGAGGCAGGACTCGCTCCCCTCCTCACCCTCGTCCGGTGGTGTTGGCAATGGCGTCCACACTTCCTCTCCCTCCAGCACGAATTCCAGTTCCAGTAGCACGAGCAAACGGCGCAGCCTGTTCCACACACCGTCCCTCAGCTTCCACAATAAGAGGAACAGCGACCCAACCCAGCTCAGCCTGGACAATCGCAACCAGGGATCTGAAGTCACCTTTCGAGATGGTTCCATCTCAAAGACGCGGCATTCATTCGGATTTGGCAGACACAAGAAGAAGATCACCCGATCTCAGACGGAAAACCTTGAGAAAGTGTCCGCTAACCGCAGCGTGTTTATTAATTGCATCAGCTCAGGGACCAATGAGGGAGATGATTCAGGGTTCCTCGATGATGTGAGCAGCAAGAGGTCTTCCAAGCATAAGAAGCAGCTGCTGCCCAAGTCCTTATCAGCTCACCAACGTTTTTCCAAGAACTTGTCCAATGTCCCAGACCAGGGTAAAGGTCAGGAAGGTGTGGAAGATCCTCCTAAAACTGGTACCCCAGGTTCCTCGCCTGGAGAACTGGCTGAGAGTTCTCTACAGTCACCCATGATCTCAGAAGACCGCACCACGGCAATAACACCATCTGATTTTGTTCATGTCACTGAAGACTCTGTCTCAGAAGTTGACGCTTTGCCAGCCCCCAGTCCAGCTGCTCCACCTGAAAACTTCAGCCAAGCAGTTTCTCCGTCGCAGGTGCCCTTCTCCCCAGCCCAGGCCTGCACGGAAAAGCACTTACTGCCAGATACCAGCCACACAGCCAACACACAGCGTGAGAGCACCACTGCCCATACGGAACCAGTACTACTGCAGACAGTGAAAGAGCTGAACCCTAACACTAACCTTAATGCTAATGCTAACCCTGACCAGTCAGAGGCCAGTGAGATTGAGCAAGCTCCAGAACTGAGTGAGGACAGCAGCTCCAACCCAGACGCCCGTGAAAGGCGGTCTAGGAACACTGTACTCATCCAGCAGGCAGGAAGATCATCAGGCCTGAGCAAACTAGAGACCAGGCCAAGTCACCTGAGAAAGCCGCACACAGGTAATGTCAGCGAACTCAGTTGCTGCTTTGATTGTTTATATAGAGGAGCAAGTTGTGTGGGAAATTATTCACATACTTGTTCCATGACAGAAACGTGTTAATCTTTGATCTTTAAACCAGTTTCACTAATCTTTCACTGAGATTTCATCTGTAGCTCTTATGACCTCAGAGCTTCCTAGATAACTTTCTGCTTTCACCAAGATAATGAACTGCTCTGATTGACACTTTAATTTCACATGAGGCCATGGATGCTGAAGTTTCAAAAAATGTTTGGAAAGCAAAAAACAACGGAAAAGTTGGGTACTACAGGTATTCATGAAGTTGTTTTTTCTGGTTACATTGGTTTTAAACGTGACAGCCATATTAATTGTCTTCACAATGTTTTTGGTACATCGTAAGGCAAAATGATGTGACCAGCTATCTGCACGTTTTCTTGCTGTTACACGGCTACTTGCCAAAAAAAAAAGGCAAGGCCTGAAGTATTGATGTGACCTGAAATGTATTTATTATAAAAGAAGGGACCTCAGAGAGAGAGAATATACATGAATGAATATAGCACAGATACATGTAGAAACTTTTTTTATGGCAACAATAGTAAATTATATTGTGTAGTGGGTCAGTATACAAAATATTGAAAAATACTGCGATTGACCAATCAGCATGTAGTATTCCAGAGAGCCACGTAATATGCTAAATGAGAAGTCGGTTAATGCTGGAGAGATGTCAGGCATCAGATACTATTAATGCCACATTATTCATTATTTGTAATGAATTAATCTTTCACATAGTTAATTATGATATTTGTGTTTTAAAAATGACATTTAAGCCCTCATGTAATAACCTATAAAAGCTCTGCATAACATGTAACCTTAAACTGAATGTGTAACTGATCTTCACAGCTCTGGAACTGCTGAAAGCTTAAACTAGTATTTTTATACACGCAAACAAAAACTGGGAACTTTATTTAAAAAAAACAAACAAAAAAAACATTCACCCCTCCCTTTAGAAACAATACTTTATGCTCCAGTTTGGCTGTAGTTTTCTTATGACCTGTGATTTTCCCTTCTGTAAATTATACTTTTACCTTATAAGTGCTTTCACTCCAGAATGCCTGTGGCTTAGAGGTTTATAGGAAACTAACCTGCTCCGCTGTATTGAATTTCCTCTAGTGATGACCTGATATTGGCTTTACTATGGATCCTCTTGCAGGAGAGAGTGAACTCTACACTCAGTGGTTTCATTTACAATTACAGGCTTGGGGTCTGTTGTTTACCATGTTGGCAGCATATTATTTTGGTAAAACAAATATTCCATAAACCCTTTTTTTGTTTAATTTAGATATGCTGGAAATTTGAGCCAGTTTATTTTTTGTATGCTTTTTCCTTGTGAATATATTTACAGCAATCACTGTTATTGTGTCTTTTTATGCAGGTTTTCTTATGACTGTGTAGGTTTTGGGCTTTCACTGAATATCGGTATATTTCTTTGATTGTGAATATTTGTGTCAGTATAGGATCCAGGATTAAAGCATTTTTGATGATAGTACAGTACTGAAACCTAATTAATGACTCTTTGTTAGACTGTTTCACCTATCCATGTTGTTTAGATTTTAATATCTAGGTTAAGAGATAAACTAAACTTATTTTGTGCAAATCTGATGCAGTGGGTGAGTTGTAGTTTGTGCCCTAGGCTTGACACTTTTTTCTTTGTGTATTTAATGTCTTTGCTACATGTTTTACATATTCTTTAGATTGTGACCTACAGCCTAATTTAAAGTCCATTGAGATCTATCTATTTCTGTACATATGGTGAGATACTGTTGAAGTTTTAATAATTCAGTTTAAGGGAGGAAACTTGGTAACAAGATGGTTTCCATATTTATATTTTCCACTACATTTGAATATTGTTGTTTTCCATAGAAGTGCAATTCACAGTTGCAGTTTAAAGCCATTCATGTGTATCTTCCATAACACTTTATTGTAGCTTAAATATATAAAGTGTATATATGTTTTTAAAATATATACATGTATGTTTGTGTATTTATATATATACATACATAAATATACACACACACGCATAATTTATATAAACAAAAACTTTTATTTTGGATGCGATTAATCACGAT